TTATCACTTGAATGGGACACCACAAGGAAATCATAAGCCTGTAAAGTAGGCTTGGAAGTTGAAAAAACTTTCTGGAATAAAGAGATGGAAACCTTTTGATATTGTTGTTAAGAAAAGTATATATGTATGTGTCCATTTAGACACAAGCAATTGACCTCGACATAAGAGAGTATTCTTATTTAGTTAGTTACTTTTATCAACAGAAAGATTAACAAGCCTTTATATACTGAATACAAACTATGCAGTGGGAGATGTACAGTATTAATACATGGGATACCTTGTTGTCCTTACAGTTTCAAGGTACAATTTCATAACCTCTAGCAATTTGCCAGAGATCGTTGTCAGCTTTTACAACTGGGAAAAAAAACCCGAAAGAATGAGAGTGGATTTCTGGGGCAAGCAACAAAAAGCAAAGGATTTCTAATAATTACAGCAAAAATAAATAAATAAACAAAAACAAAATTATGGGATGTTCCATGCACATCACTAAATAATGGGATTAACAATGTTTGCAGTGCTGGTGGTTTCAAAGAAGGCTGGCCAAATTAATCAAGGTTAAGGTTGCCCATGGTTATTACAATACTTATGTAAGATAGCAGGGGCACTATTGCATCCATTTGTTCCTTGTGGACTTTCCATTGACATCCTGGAAACGAAACACAGATTGTCAATCTAGTAAAAACTCTTTTTATGCTCTATATGCTTAGCACGTCTGAATACTGATGCCATTAAACCAGCAAGTTTCCTATTGTACTGAGGACTTCTCATTCTTTGTGAGCAGCCTCTCTATGCAGACTTTCCAAGTAATTCCTGCCTGGACAATCAAGTAATCCCTTCCACATATTTAACATATTAGCAGAGGGAATGTTTGGGTTTCTAAAAGTTACACTGCTTGAACTTCTAACATCTTGGCTTGAACACATATGCACATAGCTAAGTGTACGTAACCGTCCAACTTTGCAGACAGAATCACATTTCACGAAGCAAATGCAAGCTTCAGATCTCAGCTGCCTTGTAGCACTGATGTCTGGGTGGGGTACAATATGAGGGTTAACAAGTGGAAGGATATATCACTTTTCTCACATCTGCTGACCCTTTCTTTCTGAAACCCCATGCTGGGGGGAAAAATGGAATATTACAGGTTCAGGAGCACTTTGTGGTGAAAATGTATAGTTTTGCTTCCAAGTATCATAATGCTTACCACTGCTGGCTTCATTATGCCACAACTGTGATGTTTACCCCTAATCTTTTAAGTAGGATAGCAACATGAATAAGGCTATTATTCTGGGAATAAAATGGATATACTTTCAACTACAATTTAACCAAATCTCATTTTTGCACTAGGCTAATTGTAGTTTTTGTCTCAAGCTTTCCAATTCTCTGGGCAGAAAAGAAATACCTGGGCCTGTCTCACATGATGCTTCCATCCAATCACATAATTTCCTTCCATATCATCCTTAAAAATAACATTCTGCTAGAAGATATTTCCGGTGTCAATATGTTATGCATTCAAAATAATTTAATTTGATCCTTATATTAATTATGTCATTTTGATCTTCTTTTCTTGCTCATTTTCTGATAGCTATAATTCTGGTTTATCTGTTGATTAAGTACAAATGTAGAATATCTTGGAGAAAATCACAGGATGCCCCAATTGCGTTAAGTTTGCAGATTTATCTGGAGCCAAAAAAGAGAGAGGCCACACATTCTTTTTTCACCCATTCTGACTATTGTCTTCTACTATGATGCAGTGTACTGTAATAGGCTAATCTGCCTCTCATTTCCCAGAAGGAATGAGAGGCAGCTTAGTCCAGACAGTCCCTCCTTAATAGTTTTAATAGTATATGCTTGAAGTAGATAGTAGAATGCTTCAGTCTGGCAAGATTCTATCTGTAGGCATGGAACAATTAAAACAAAGTCTCCTTGAAAGAATCGCCATGTGTCTTTCTTGGTTTTGGGGAACCGACATCTGCTTAAGCCACACAAAGTCCTCAGAACAAGATCAGTTTGCAAGTGGGACGTGCAAGCAGGGTAAGGGTAGCTCCTAAGGGCCAACTTAATTTGCCTCCAAAGCCCCTGACTTGAAAAGTGGATTAGCTGTTTCTTTTTTATTCCCCTTGAGGCAGATCAGCATCATTTACTGCTGGAAACAAGTTGCTGGGCTAGTTAGAACTCAGTCTAATTCAGCAGATCTGCTTTTATGTTTTTGAGTCAGAAGGGACTAGAAGGTCATCTATTCTGGCTCCACATCCAAAAGGCAGAGCTGTAACCTGGCATTAGGAAAGGTCAACCTTCTGCAACTGAAGCTTCATAGGTACATTTCGAAAAATGCCAAAGGATTTTGAGACTTTTGGGTAGAATCAATATTATCTGGAGAGCATCAGACTGAGAAAACGTGATCCAGGGTCTTTTACAATTTTATCTTGGCTTTCAGCAAAAGCTGGCAGCACATTTCTTGATGTGGTTTTAAGCATATTTTTCTAAACTTTAGATCAGTGTGACAAATATCCAGAGTGCAAAGTGGAAGCAAAAGATGGAAGCAAAAATATTTAGAGACCAGTAATTTTGGTGTTGTCTAGTTGCAGTCCTAATCTGGTAGTTTTACTAGTAGAAAAATGAAGAATTGTAATGGTTTCCTAGTCCTCTATCCCCAGCATTTGAATTTGGAGATAAACTGCTTCTAAATCCCAATGAATGTAAGAAATACTCAATATTGATAATAATGTCTTCTCTTCAAGTCTTTTCAAGATATCTCATCTGGAGGCTACCACCACATTTTATGTCAGTAAGCTCCATAAATCATTGTGTGAGGAGGTACAGTTTCTCTGTGTTGAACAAGCTATCAGAGCACTTGAGAAATGAAATATAGGAAATTGCTGCCAAAGATAACATTATAGATATGACTATCTTCTGTCTTTACTCTGTTCAATTCCTTAACTGTTTCAATTTTTATCCCCTTTTAAAATATGTACTATGTAATATTTCTAGATGGTGTCTAGAAAGGTAGGCAATATCTGGTTTGCATTAGCAAAAGATTATGATTAAATATTACATTCATACTTTTCTGAGTAACATCTTACTTTTTCTTTCATTTAAGTAAGGAGAATAAACCACAATTCAGTTGTTTCCCAATTTATAATTGTCAATAAAAATATGAGCGAAGAATTATAATTTAAAAGTTTAATTTAATACAGCCAACTTTAAGCCCCAATAACCTAGTATATGTTTTAAACCACAATTTCTAAATCATGAGAAATAAAATACCAAGAATTTTGTTGTTCCCTCCCCTAGCGCTGGAGACAAAAATAGGGAAAGCCCAGAGCTCATTGCTCAGTTCAGATTTGCAGTGATTGCCACATGCAATGCAAAATGCTAACTTTCTGCTGCGCACAAATCAGCCTATTTCAAAGCAACTGTAACACAGAGTCCTATACAAGTGATGTTCATCCCAACTTGATTCCCCTCTATGTGATTCTTGAAACCTGAGTTTGACAGCTGATATCCATTTCTCTCGCCCACATATTCAGAATCCCTTGCAGGAGGTCAAGATTGTTGGGAAAGTGCAAAACCACAAATCCCTTGATAAGGAAGGAAGAAGCCTTTCAGAACAAGCTGGATAAAAGACTTGTTAACTGTGTGTATTAGTTGACAGCTGGCAGCTGATGGAGCAGTAGATAGTGAGAGAAGGGGTGGAGGTTTGTGCCAAGGAGGAGCAAGCCCAAAAGTTTCCTTTATTTATTCTCACTCTTTTGGTTGATACTTGACCTCTATGATCTGGACTTTAAGCACCAACCTGCTGGGCTTTTGCAGAAGACACATAGGGGAATGAAGTGTAGGGAGAGAAAACAGAAGAAGTGAAAGTTGAAACATTGCTCTGAGAAACTAGAGGCTCTGCTATTTAGCTGCAGAGCCAGAAGGATTAGTGAAAGCAGCCACAATTCTGTCTCCAAGCTCCATTTGTGCGGCAGGGACAATTTGTTCACAGAGATTGTGTAAGAAAGACATGATGAGAGGAGAACAGGTGTCCAGGAAGAAGAAAATGTGGCTATGGAAAAACAAGAAAATGGATCCGTCTTTCAAAGTACAGAGAAAAGCTATTACAGAAGAAAGCATGTCAGGTTTATATTGTATACTAAAGCTCCCCATTATTTTCTTGCTTAAAATACACATATACTGTGCCAAAAGCTGAACCCTTCATGTTGTTTATATTCTGCAAATCAACACAACTGACACATTTTGCAGATTTTATTTAGTATTTATAGAAACAAATTATATAAATATTACATATAAGACTCATCTCCTATTTAGTCAGAGTTCGAGTGTCTGAATTTATTTTTGAGCTAATATATTTTTTAACCTCCTGGAGATCAAAGGTAATTTTCCCATTAGGAATGCACTTAAAACTAACAAAAAATATTTATAAAAATGTTATTCAGAATTTTACATGAAGCAAAAGGATCTATAGAGAAAGAAAAGAAAAAAAAAGATTCAAAACCAGAAAAAAGTTATTTAAGAAAATGACTTCCGAACTTCTTTTCAACAGATATTGATAAACCCACCAAATAGGCTGAAAAACAGCTTCTATCCCAGGGCAGTAACTATATTGAATTCTACTGAATAGTGTAATATTAATGCAGTATCAGGGGTTTTCAATTCAATTGTATAGAATGTGAAGGATGTGTGTTTTTGTTTTATTTTTATAGTTTTCCTATGTATGATGTACACTGAAGATGGCATTTAGTTTCATTGTACAAGGTGCAATAACAATAAAGTAAACTAAATATTTGGGTTTTTTTTAATGCTTAAGACCATAGAGTTGTGTCCACTCATACAGAGCCCAGGTGGCGCAGAGGTTAAATGCAGCACTGCAGGCTACTTCAGCTGACTGCAGTTCTGCAGTTCGGCTGTTCAAATCTCACCGGCTCAGGGTTGACTCAGCCTTCCATCTTTCCGAGGTGGGTAAAATGAGGACCCAGATTGTTGTTGGGGGCAATATGCTGACTCTGTAAACCGCTTAGAGAGGGCTGAAAGCCCTATGAAGCGGTATATAAGTCTAACTGCAATTGCGATACAGTGAGAGGCAAAGCCATATCAATTAGAATGCTGAACTAGTGAATTCTGATCTGTTCAACAAACCATAGCTAATTAAATCATGGCTTAGCATGGTATCTGAAGCCATTCTTGCATGCAGATGAAATATTGTTGTGTTATACCAGAAACTCTAAGGTGGACATTGTGTAGGGTAAGAAGGGTGGGTGATGTGATTGCTATCTTTGGAGAGTTTTACATTTCTCATTCTCAACCTCTATCATGTATAAGAAATAACCACAAATGAAAAGTAAAATGTGGTGGAATTTAGAGCTGAGTTGATGGGAAGGAAGCAGCTGAAAGGGGATCCTCCCTAAATCTTCACAGTGTTTATCTACTGGTTGTGTGGTGAGCGCTTTAGTCTGACTATATTCCTTTCTATAGACAAGCTGCCATAAACATATCACTCTAATCAGCTCCTTGTGTCATTTCTTGCACGTGACATAAAATGATTTGGAGTCTTGTAAAACACAATGTAAAATAAGGTATCAGCCAACAGTAGCAAGGGGCAGTGTGAAGACATTAAATTAGAGAGAAAAGAAAGATAGTTCTGCTACATTATTTACCCCCAAATGTTTACCATTTCCTACTTTTATCATTTAGAAGGGACAGTGACTTATTTATAGTATAAATTTCAAAGACTATTTTAGACTGTGCTATAATAATAAAAAGAAAACAAGAAATGGGAAATAAGGAAAGGCAAGTTTATTCTATGAAAAATAACTTTTTAAAAAGTCCACAATGTAAGTTACCTAGACTCAATATTGGCATCAATGGGATTCAGAAGCATTCTAGATGGGACACAGAATAACTACATGAAATTTCAAGTCTTTCAAACTTACTGTACATGATAAATTTAGTAACAGATTATTTGTAAATGTACAGCTGTCATTGTCAGTGTACGGGGAGTTTTATTTTGTATTATGTGGATTCTGTTTCTTATGATAACTAGTGAATTTTTTTAAAAAAATGAAGGATGAGAATCCTTGCTCTAATCCTCCATAGATCTATACTAAATCATTTGAGTTGGCTTCTCTTCATGGTACTTTACTCAGATTTATCCATTTCTTCCTTTGCCTCTCCAAAATATTCATAGTCCTCATTTAATTCCTCCCCCTGTTCTACTTCAGCATCTTTTTGAGTTTCATTATTTAATTGTACTAAAATGGGACCAGGAGTAGATGGTCCTCCATCACTGGAAGACATGTCTTCTTCTTCCTCTGCAGGATAAAAGTGTCGGGCAGCTGACAGAAAATCATCTCCCACATCAAGAAGAATAAGCCGGTCCTGAAATTAGAATATAAATAAATTGAAGCACAGTGAAGGTGAAAAAATACATCAAAAATATGATAAGAAATTACTCAAATCACAAAAATCCCAATTAGCAGTAAACCACAGATTACATGACATTTCCATCTTATAAAACTGTATGGTATAGTAAATATGAGGAGGTAAAGATTCTTAAATAGTTCTGGGGTGACAGTTTTGCCAGTTTTCATTATTTGACTTTTTAAAAGACTGTTTATGGTGATATCTCCAGATTTTTGGTGTGAATGAGGAACAAAAAATGCTTAGAGGAATTCATTTTAGAATCTAGAAAATTCAAAATCCTTCCTGGTGCGTCTAAGAAAAATAACATTTTAGAGGGATTGAAGAATTCCATGTAAATCTCTCCTAGCAAATTTTATTTGGTCATAAACAGGAGGAGATAACTTTTGATTTTGAAATGTGGTCTAGTTATCAGCAGAATAAGGGAAGGAAGGGCTGGGAGTGATCTTATTACCACTTAATACAATAAAAGCACAATGACAAACAAAATGAGTTCAATGGAAGTGGCATTTCTCTGACATAAAAATGTATTATTACATTTGCAAAGACTGAAATGGCAGACCCACATTTGTAGAAGAGAGAGGCTATTGGAATTAAACGGAGCAGAAAAGACTCTTTTCCTCCTTTCTGGAGGCCCACATTCAGGCCACACAAGGCAGATACCTTCTCAATGAATTGTCTAGGGGGAACCAAAACAGTATGGAAGCCAAATAGGCTTTGGAGAATTTTTAAGAAAATTCTCTGGGCTTGTTTCAAGTAGCCACAACCCTATTTTTAGCAACTTCCAATTCCGTCCCTAAATGGCTTGTTAGGAATGGCACAACCACGACAACTATTTCATTGGCATTGCTGGAAAAGAAAGGATTTATCCTTCTTACCAAATAATGCTCATTTGCTGCTTCTAGATGGCAGCAAAGAGATCTAGAAAAATCTAAACTCTTTGCTGCTCTGTCTTAGTTTTGTCTGTAGTTTTGAAGCATGGATCTGGTGGCCTAAGTCCAGGGGTGCCTGTGGAAAGTTTGCATGAAAAAAAGTCAAGATGGAGGATCTTATTGTCATTGGAGGGCAGTCTTATTGTCAAACACCTGCTCCTTTTTACAAGTGTTGCTTTAAGGATACGTGGGAATGATCTTGAGAGACAGAAAGGAGAGCCACAGACTGGACAACCTGGTGTGTAAGAAATGTATCAACCCCTAGAAGGAGGGAGCATGTGGAAATATTTCAGAAACAACAATTCCCAGTTTTCTGGAGAGTAAAAGGAAAGGAGGGAGAAATACCACTTTTCAAAATCTTTTTTCTTTTTCTAGGGCGTGAACCACAAAGCACATTAGAAGGAATCAACTTACATTGGCTCCACATTAGGTTAACCATTGTGGGAAGACTTATATCAAATTTCTGTTAATTAGGAGAGATGCAGCTGCTGTTCTCACCCTCCAAAATAGTTTCCATAATGATCTGAGTAATATCCAGAGCTCCTTCTGACAAGCACTGTATAGACAGTGTATTCTCTACAGTTTCCTCCCTACTCACCAGGACAAAGAGATATCTCTCTGGTGGACCTCCATGGTGATGACCAAAAATTGATGTCTGTTCAGCCAGGATAGTGTGGAGTCTACGGGCCTCTTGAGGATTGTGGAGAGATTCATAGGAAGTACAGGAAGTTACAGTGAGTAGGCCATCTGCTTCAGCTTTGAATCCTACATTGAAAAAATATCATTAACCTTCATTTTTCATTCATAGCAATTCACTAAATGATCTTCTATTGTATTTATATGCACTTCCAGAAAATTCAACATTAAAATACACGTTAAAACAAAGATATTTCACCAAATTTCAGATTGCAATTTAGTCATTCTTGAACTTATAAAAAGCTTTTATCTGACACCAAGGGATCCTCTATAATCAATGTGCTACAAAAGAAAATGCTTTGTACAGTGTAATCACCATCTAACTTTAACTACCATAAAACAAATTACAGAAGATCTTAAAGTTCAGATAGGTACAGCATACAGCAAGGGACATCTATCAAAACATCAATTACACAAGAAATGATGCCTGCCATCCTCCCATTTGTATTACAATCAAAAACAATTTTCAATGTTATTCCTGAATTCAAGGACATAGAGGAAGGGTTAGGGAGAATGACATTTGTGATTTGAAAAGGTCCAAAAAAATATCTGCCTTTGATTTTCAGTTGCTCAGTGTTGCTCAGTGAAAGTGCAAGCAAAAAGCACTGATAGAAAGTCTTTAGACTAGGATATAACCTTATAGCCCTGTGTAGCTTAAATTTCTACAATTCCATCTTCCACTTGTACCAAATCTTACAGAACCCAAGAATGAAACTATTGAAGCATGGATTCCCCCCAAATTCAATGAGAGAGCCAGTTTTATGTATTGGTTAAAGCAGAGGTGGTATTGAGCCAGTTCTGGAGCACCAGTAGCAGAAGTTTGGAGTAGTTTGGAGAACCAAAGATCAGCTGGCCCTGCCTCTGCTGTCTCCCAGCCAATCTTTTGTTGCCCTGAACAGGAGAACGGAGCTGGAAAGCAGGTTAGTGGGGTTGAGAAGAAATGGGGATTTTGCAGTATCCTTCCCCCGCCATGCCCACAAAGCCACGGCCACAGAACTAGTAGTAAAAAAATTTGAATCCCACCACTGGGTTAACATTAGGTGACAAAAGCATCAGGAAACCATGAGTTCTAGTCCAGTCTTAAGCATGAAGCCAGCTGGTTGTCTTCGGGCCAGTCCCTACTTTCAGCCACATAAAGAGGGCAATGGCAAACCATTTAAGAAAGACATTGCTAAGAAGACTGAAGAGACTAGTCCAGGAGTTGCCAAGAGCCAAGCCTGATTTCAAGATAGACATAGATACACAAGCCAACGTAGAGGGAACCCCTACAGTAATTTCTGGTCAGGCAGCCCAAATTTAGCATCGGTCTAAACCCTGAGAAGGAGATTTCCCCTGCCCCCAGGCCTAACTACTAGCTTAATATTGTTCTTTTAGATCAGTTTAAACATACCCAGAGACAAAGAGAAAGAGATAGGTAGACAGACAGACAAGGTTTGCTTAAAGATTGTCACTTTTGTATCACTACTGTTCTGTCTCTCAGGGATTCCTGAGATCAGGGATTCCAAGATTTTTTTAAAAAAACTAACAGATTTTGTGGTGTGGAATAATTTAAAAACTCCTGTTTCAATTTCTAAAGCCTACTAAATCTTGCAATATCATATAATAAGGGAAACTGCCATATAGTTATTTAATTCTCTAGATTTTTTTAAATAACAAGTTTTGTTGGATTAAAGCCCTTCAGATGGTCAAAATAACTAGAAGCATTCTTTCCATAGTTTTTTTTAAAATTTGTCAGAATAGCAGAGTCAACCAAGTGACAATTCTTTTCAATAGACAATGGCAGATTTAATTCTCTGAATCTAGGATACTGTACTTGCTGATATTAGTTAACATCCCGCAATAGCTCAGCCAATGGGGAAAAAACCCTTTATCTTATTCTTACTGGGTATTTTATGTTTAAATCTGAAACAACAATCTGAAACTACAGAAACAGTATCTGAGGTCCTGCCTATAATTTTTAATTTTTCCTTTAGAACAAAAGATTATACAATAGTTAAATAAATTAACTTGACAGAAAAAAAAATGTTCACTCTTAGGACATTTACCTAAGACTTCCAAGACATGTTTCCATCGATCCTTTACCTTTCGACGGATCTGTCGGTGGGCAATGATGTCAAAGCTCAAACGTCGATATCCCTTTATCAGAATAAGGAGAAAAGGGGGGTGAGAAAGAATCCACAAGCTATACAGATGAGCAAAATACAAGCTCTTACAGAGGGCAAGGCATGTGCATGTGAGCAGCTAGATTTTACAGAGGCATGAAAGCAGAGACCTCCAACCTTGTCGAACCAGAGAATATATTAATATTTTGGGAATAGATTATATATGGTCAAAATTAATTGTTGCATAGAGTGTATGTCCATTCACAACAAGGCTACCACAATGGTTGAACCCAGTCATAAAACCCCATTGACCAGAAGTTAACCAGTGAAGTTGATCCTTGCAACAGTTTTAAGTCTAAGAATAGTTTTGGAACTATATATAATTCCTTGCCTTTCTGGGAATTAGGATTATTCCAGAGACTATTGCTGTTTTGCAGTATATCAAGTTTTTCTTATTCTATCTTTAACAAAGAAAAAAGTAGAATAAAATTAGGTCGGTACATAGGGAGATGCCATTGAGGTTCCAATTTTAAATATAATGGGTTTGGGCATGCATGTGCAGATACACACATATGTGGTCTACTCAGATGAGATCTCTGCTCCCCATATTTAAGGGCTGTGAATACAATTAATTCTTATACTTATTTGTATAGGAAAATGGAGTAAATGATTGATATAAATAGTGATAATACTTTTACTTCTAACATACCCAATAATTGAAATTTTCTGGATTAACCATAATTGTTAGACCTACTCTTTAAAGAAGAGTAACAAAAATATAATCAAATGATTTTTATATGCCATCAAGTCATTACTGATTCTTAATGACTACATAGATAGATTTTCTCTATGATGATCTGTCCCTCACCCTCTTTCAGGTCTTCCAATAGAATTTCAGGGCTCAGCACCACTATTATTGAGTCCACTCATCTTGGTGCTGATCATCTTTTTCTTTCCTTCCACAGACTGCAAGAGGCGCCTGACACTCAAAGAACCTGTTCCTTGTAGCTACCCACTTTGCTCCACTTGTTGGAGACCTCTGGAGAAATGCCTCCAAAGAGGACAAAAGCAACCATATTGAAACATAGTGTGTTTCTTGAGGTAGTCTGCTCCTAAACTATGCAGGGTTTCAGTACTGAAATCTTGAATCAGGAGGCCCAGAAAGTGAATAGGAGTTAAACAATGAATCCAGATTTGAAGGTTTGAAGGTTTATTTTATTTATATGCCGCCCTATTCCCTGAGGGACTCAGGGCGGCTAACAAACCCAAGGGGGGGGGGGGGAAGTAAGCATGAAGGAATACAACAAAGAAGGTACAAGGGAATTTAAAAGACAATCAACAGTCACACAATTCGAGAGGGGAAGGGAACTCATCAACCCCAGGCCTGCCGGCACAGCCAGGTTTTAACGGCTTTACGGAAGGCCTGGAGAGAGGTGAGGGTCCGAATCTCTGCGGGGAGTTCGTTCCAAAGGGCCGGAGCAGCCACAGAGAAGGGCCTCCCCTGGGTAGTAGCCAGATGACATTGGCCAGTAGATGGAACCCGGAGGAGCCTAATCTGTGGGATCTAATGGGCCTTTGGGAGGTAATTGGCAGTGGGCAGTCTCTCAAGTACCCAGGTCTAATACCATGAAGGGCTTTATAAGTGACAACTAGCACTTTGAAGCGTATCCGGAGACCAATCGGTAACCAGTGCAGCTCGCGGAGGATAAATGTAACGTGGGTGTACCGAGGTGCACCCACAATCGCTCGGGCAGCTGCATTCTGGATGAGCTGAAGTCTCCAAATGCTCTTCAAGGGCTACCCCATGTAGAGCGCATTGCAGTAGTCCAGTCTTGAGGTCACAAGCACTGTTCCCTCTAAGGTGCGTGGCTGCGCGGCCGCGCACGTGGCAAGAAACCCCCGCGCAGAGGTTTCTAACTGCCGCGCAGAGATTTCTATCAAAGCAAATGTGGGGAAGTCCTTTGCAGGCGGCTAGAACTGGCCGCCCGCAAAGGACTTCCCCAGACTGGGAGAGATATTAAAAAAAAACGGCGGTCCTTCTAGCTCGCTTTGTTGCTTGGTTTGCTGCAGCCCTGGGGAGCCATGGAGAGGGCGAGTCAGAGGCAGCCCAGCACCTGGTGTCCCCCCCCGCCTCGGCGGCACCGAGATGACTCTCCTGGACGCCTGACCTGCCGGTATCTCCCCCCTCCCGCTTTCCGCCTTCCGGAAGCCCATCGCTTCGGGCGCTTCAGGCTCTTTCCTTTCCTCCCATCCCTTGCCCTGCTTTCTGCTCGAACGGAATATCTGCTGCTGCCTCCTCCTCCCCCAACAGCACTGCCGGATTTGCCGCCCAATGCTGCGGCTGAGGTGAAGCCGCCAAAGCTCCCGCCAGCACCCCTGCTTAGGTGAGGTGTTCCGAGCGGAGGGGGAGGCAGGCACCGCCGCCGCTGCCATGGGCGGGGGCGCCTGCAGGAGCTTTGGCGGCTTCATCGCTGGGCAGCAAATGTGGTGGTCCTCTTGGAGGAGGAGGGGGAGGCGGCAGGAGTTATTCTGGTGGGGGGGAGGCTGGTCGGCATCTTCAGCGGCAGCCCTGCCCCCTGTGAAAAAACCCAAAGATGGAGCAGATCCACGCAGATGACGTCGCCGCCACATGACTGGAGGAGGAATTCTGGGAGTTGAAGTCCACAGTCTTAAGCTGTCAGGTTTGAAGATCCCTGTGTTTTTTTTCCCTAAAGGGTTATGGGTGCAAGGATCTTGTAACTTGACAGCTTTAAGACTTGCATGCTTCACTGCCAGAGTTTCTGAGCCAACATGACTGGAGGAGGAATTCTGGGAGTTGAAGTCCACAAGTCTTAAAGCTGTCAGGTTTGAAGACCCCAGAGGTTTTTTTTCTAAAGGTGCAAGGGTGTTGTAACAACAGCTTTAAGATTTGCGTGCTTCAAAAGCTAGACTTTCTGAGCCAACATTTTGGTTGCTAAGCAGGAGCGTTGTTAAGTGATACTGATATTATATAACACTTTTAATTAAGCGGGTACCTTGAATAAACATAACTTTGAGTTTCAAATAATACTGATTTTGTTGTTGTCTTAGGTGACATCTGTTAAAAAAATTCAGGTGCTCAGGCATGAAAATGTACCGCTCAAACACTATACTTTTCCGCTCACACTGAAAAAAAATTACAGGGAACATTGGTCACAAGGGCATGAGTGACTGTTGCGAGTGCCTCCCGGTTCAGGTAGGGATGCAATTGGTGCACCAGGTGAACACATTCTGATGTTTTGACAAGCAGCGGTTAGATTTTCCCATCCTCCTTCCATCCACCTGACTGTTTATATTGCTAGTAGCAATGAAAGCCATCAAGTACCAAGTTCACCAGGAAGTCATAAAGATCAAGATGTTAGCCACAACCATATAACACGTGTAAAGTGTGCTTTATTACATGGCTGTGGGTCAACATCTTTCTTTCTTTATTCCCACACACACACTGCTTCTCCCAGATACCCCTGCAATGAGATCTCCGCAGTCCAGATCTGTCTGGACCGTTTTAGAGGGTAATACATCTTAAGCTTAGTTTATTATTTTTATGTTCTATTTTATGAGAAAATATTTTTTTGGTTTAGGTAAAGTTGCAGTTCTCAAGGCCAATTTGGTAGAAAAATGTTAACACCTGCCTCCATTCTCCCTTGTAGCACTGTGCAGCATAGTGTTGTTTAGCTACAGTTTCAGTGCTCTGACGATGAGAAATTAAAATCACGTTTCTAATTTTTATGAGCTCTAGAAGTCTTGGACAAAGCAGCTCAGGGAATGACAGCATGACAAACCCAACCCAAACTATAACTAGCATTTTCAGAATGGTCTTAAAAAGACCAATTTATGTATTACACCTTTTTTTTTCCTTGGTTCAAGGCAGCAATAGCATTTTTGTTTATGATTATTCTTGACATGTACTTCACCATTTTCACACGGAGAAAACAACACAAAAAACTATTCACTATATCTGTCAACAAGTTACATGTGGCTGAATTCCACATCATTAAATTCAGTTCCATATGAAAGAAAGAGCTTCAACTGTGTGGGCCACTTACCTCTGACCCACGACGCATTTTTGACCTTTTCTCTAGCAGCTTGTGAAGCTCATGATCATCTCCCCGCTCCACATGAGCGGAGTCTGCAGGTTCATTCCACAAATTAGCTGCCTCTGACTGCCGCCATTTCTGTAACTTATTGAAATACTGAAATGTGTCACTGGAATAAAAAATGGAAAAGATTCAAGGTTTTGTTTTAGATGGCAGTGTGAGGGGAATCCATAGCAATGCAATGTAATGGAGTTATTGAAACTGGCCAAGTCTAGTCTTTTCCATGGTGTATCGTTTATTTCATCCAAAATATTTAAAGGTCTTGCACAGACTTTTCAGGAGTTTCAGGGCTTTGTGAGTTCAGATCAGGGGTGGGTTTCTACCAGTTCTAACCTCTTCTATAGAAGAGGTTCCACAAATCTAAGGTGCCATTTAGAACCAGTTCCAGCTCCCTCCCCCTGCTTTCTGCACATCATCACGATGAAGAATGAGAGGAGGAATTCTGGGAGTCGAAGTCCACAAGTCTTAAAGCTGTCATGTTTGAACACTCCTGGGGGATTTTTTCTAAAGGGTTAGGGGTGCAAAGGTCATGTAAACTTGACAGCTTTAAGACTTGCGTGCTTCAAATGCCAGAGTTTCTGAGCCAACATTTTGGTTGCTAACCAAGAGCGTTGTTAAGTGAGTTTCAGCACATTTTACAAGTTGGCCATGCCCACCCAGTCACATGACTGCCAAGCCACTCCCACCTGGTCACATGGCCAGCAGGCCACTCCCACAAAGCAGGCCACACCTACAGAATAGGTTCTAAAAAATTTTGAAACCCACCACTGGTTCAGATATATTCAAAACTATGTCTGGGAATTGGGTCTCAGAAATGGCTGCTGAATTGTGATTCAAAGACTGTGTGAGGCTTCACATTTGTTAGTGGATCATCACCATTCCTCTGGGGCAGTATTTTTCAACCTTGGCAATATATGGGATCCCAGAATTCCTCACCCAGGGCAATAAGTTTGAAAACAGACAAGGAGAACCGGAGATTGCCCACCAATGCTCCTCATGGTTTAAAGCTCTGGAAGAAGAAATGGCCAGCTTGCTCAAACCATGGTTGGCACCTTCAAAAGTATACTTCCTTTCCCAATCGCTTTTGAACATTGCTTGTTAATTATTTTTCAACTATACGGAAGCTTCGGACCAACCAATCTGAAATCATTGGATGAGTTTCCTTTAATTGTTAGTGAAAGAAGTTCAAATACAACTTTATTTTTTATTTTGGAATAAACAGCAAAAAGATAATTAGAAGTTTGATTTTGGAAAGTTACAAACAAACTTTAAAATTTTGGAATTAGTTATTTACTATTGCATAAGAATGCTTCCCACGGGAAAATGTTTTTGTAATATAGTAGCTAACTGGAAGGAGGGAGCACATTCCAAGGAGGAGTGTGAGATAAGAGCAAACAGAGCCCCAAAACTGGATTGTGGGAAGAGGATAAATTTTTGGATAACCACTCCCTAAAATCTCCAGGGTACCTCTATTAGGTTAGGGTCGTATAGGCTTACTCTGTCAAAATTGAATATGTAATCTTTTTTCCCCCCTGGATTCTGTTGCATTGCTCTTTGGCTAAACTTGACTTCTAAAAAAAAAGATAGAATAGGACTTTGAAGGTTAGACACTAGAGGTAACTAGAAGGAATTATGATTACAATTAAAGGAGAACAACACTTAGATTCAACTTACAAATACAGAATGAAGCAAAATATTTTGACATTGGACATGCTACCATAATGAAATTAATTTCAAGAGATTAAGAGATCAGATCCTGTTGGAAACAGGAACAGGAGAAATCTGCCTTGAAGCTAAGTAAAAGCACTCACAGATGCTGTCCTATTTATACTAATAACAAGCCATTACTTTATGCAGCCCAAACGGCAGCATCTAAACCTAAAGAGATAGCTTCAGAAGAGATAAACAAACATCCCCAAGGCTGAAGAAATATTGCTTTTATTTATTAAACAAATGTGTATAGTAGCCCATCTCCTAAAGAAACTCTGGGAAGGAAACAAAATAAAAACGTAATAGCATTAAAAACCATTCAATGCAATAAACTGTGTTGGGGTCTTAATAAAAAACTTTCATCTATCCATCATCCACTAGCGGTCAAACTATCAAATCCTGGCCTCCGTGCCTGGAGGAAAAGAACAGACCTTCACCATTTTCCTGAAAGCCAAAAGGGTCGGGCCATCTTATCTATAGGTAGAGGCCATATAGTGCTAACGTATAAGGCATTGTAATACACAAAGCATACTTCCGAGGCCCTGTAGGTAACACAGTTTCATGAGTGTGCTCAGAGCATGTCCAACCCTGCCACATATAGAAATCATTGGAGGAGATAATCCCACTCTGGCCCCATGCAAGTACAGGACAATTTTGTCCCTTGATAAAAGCATAGAAAAATATAGGGATCAGCCTAATGAGAACAGAACATGAGGAATACAAAAAGTTGTCTTTCGAAAGGAATTAGAGAGGAATCACAGAAAACAAGGGGAACAAGCAACAGAATGGGCAATGGTAGAAGACTCCTGGAGGTGAATCTAAAGGTTCAACTTTCCAGCATTACTTCCAAAGCAAAAGATTTCATATGAATTATGCAAACTTGTACCATTGCAATTATATTTATGGAACCTTGAGATAATTGTGAAATGCTAAAATACATACCCCGTGTTCAATGAATTCTTCTCTAATTCATCTTCATCGTGGTAACAGCAACAACACACTTGGCCCAAGAAATCCATGTCACTTGCAAAAGCTGCAGATTATAAAATATGCCTATAACTAGTATATCAGAGTATACGATAGGGATGACAGAAATTGCACTTGAAAAAAAGGCAAAGAAGTTTATATTTCTCTTTCAATACTGTCTGACAGTCATAAGCAGAGATCATGTGAAATGTTTCCTTCAATCCTCCATAGCTTAAGGCGTTTGAACAAAACATACAAAATTCAACATAATATATTGTGGTCTTGGCATTTATATGGGAAGATGCGTAAAGTTCATTTCTGTTATCTTCTTCAAGACCTATTAAAGCAGTATTAAATAATGGTGTGCCTCTAGGAGGTGCAGAGACACTTATCTAACCTGGTATCAGTTGGAGCCCCTGATTTGATTTTGTTTATTCCCTTTTTTTTTTAAATGGAAGAAGTGCCATGACCTTCACTTAAACTCCATGGATTATAATTAGAAAATAAAAATACGAGGAGGCTGTATGCCCATGCTTGTCAGGAAATGTACCTCACCAGGTAAGCTAGGTTGCTGAACAGTGAGCAATTACCATACTAATTTGACTTTTAGAACATGATTTTTTAAATGGTCATTCCACAAAATGGTGACCAGATTCTGACAGTGCTCTTGACACTCATAATTCCTAATGTCCCCAAAGACTTCGGGATCAAATATTTCGTCTAGTTGTGAGTTATCTTGTACCTTTTTGAAGACGAAGTACCCAGTATACCCAAGACCACAGATTAATGGATGGGACTCATTTTACAACCATGATATATGATTGGTATGAGACTGTAATACTGACTTGCCAAAACAAAAGTGAACATCATTTCTGAGATCAAACACTGTGTTTGGTATCATCTTGGTTTCAGGGGAGAATATATGCCTAAGCTAGGTAAATTTCTGCCTTTGGTAGCTTTTCAAGTCTTGCAAAGAAAAAAAACAACCCTCAAATATTTTAAATGGCTTTTCCCAGCCTGTTTCTTTCTAGATGGGACTTCCGATCCTGGCACTTCATATTGGCCTACAAACACCAAGACATCTGGATGTCAGGTTGCAATAAAAGTTATCTAGCTTCAATAATAAAATTGAGGATGTTGTGGTACATGAATCACATTCCTTCACCTAAAATTTTACATCCTGAGAAGTGCAAGAAAATAAGCCTTTTTTTCAAGTGATCTTTGATTATATCTTTGTGAAATCACAACAAACACTTATGATAAAGCAGATGGAAGAGGTTCACAGGGAACGATATCGATTAAACTGCTGCATTGGTTTGGGATTTTTTTTCCTTCTTGTCCTAAGGCTATAGTTTACGGTTCATGTACAAAGCACCAGCAAAACACATTAGATTTTAGAATATGTTTCATATGCATTGCATTCTTACAATTCTGCATCCTTATAGCTCAGAAAATAGGAATTTATAAGAATTTAAATGAATGAGTGAAATTTCCAGGTGGTCTATATTTTACAGTACTTTTAATAGCTATAAATGTTGATTTAATAAGGCTAGTTTGGGAGTCAGAACATTTATCTGCCCTGGGATTGCTTTATTATCTATATTTTATGACTTTTAAACAATAAAAACTAACACAGACTAATACAGTATAAACAAAATAAAAGAAAAAAAGGAAAAAGGATAGAAGTGGCTTCTGATATTCTTCACGGCAGTTGTAAGTACAAATATATTTTAATCTCTATTGTTAAAGCTACATCTTCTTATACTTTCTATAATCTATTGAATCTAATAATCAAACCCATAAATTGCAAGTTCATTTATGTGCAAAAAGTTCATGAAAGGCTTCCAATCACCAATAATATAGATATGTTTTTTCTCTAATCAAAGAAAACAATTTATCCATTTCAGCAAAATGTAGCAAATTCAGCTTCAACAACCATTACTCATAGTGGTGAGTGTTGAATCTTTCCATCTGTGCATATAATAATCTACCATAGCTGCTTATATTGAAATTATCTTCCATAGCTTCTTTTCTAACTGTTTAACAACCAAAGGGAAAAGCTCTGGCTTCCCTGGAATATTATTAATTAATAGAATTCTTGTTAAGATGTTACTAAGATATTTCTTAATAAGCAGTTGTTCTTGTAGGTTACAATCCCGACATATTGAAATCTTTCTCATTTCAAGAGCTATGGCTACTTTGAGTAGTGAGGCAGAAGAGCTTACATTTTTCTTCTTCCTATTTATTGGACAATTACTAACAAAAATTACTCATTGCCCCTTTCATGATAGCCAAATCAGCTTAAATAGCTCCATTGGTTCTCTCCATTTTTTGGATCAATTTCAATACCCACTTTTATAGGTTCATACGGCAATCTCAGGCAATTGTCTTTTAATCAGCCAGCATCCAGCTTGAACAAAAAATCTTGCACATAGAAGTGGCTTGTTTGCAGCATAGAACTTCAAACCACTTTCCTATAGAAATTCTGAATTTGGATGTCATATTGGTTAAGTAGATGGCAAGCTCTATTATGTTTATCAGTTTTGATGTGTAAGCCACAAAGTGAGATATCAAAATGTGCAACTGGTTTTAATTGAGCTAATAACCACATTAATCTATATCTAAAAGGATAATAATTTATTAGGGCATAGTTCTGTGGTTTATATTTTATACATTAGATCATTTTGTGTTTTTTTAAGGTACCACAAGGGCCTTTGTTTCTTCTTTCTCAGAAGAATATGTAAACACAATAAAATAAAGAAAATCACAGATATACTTATGAAGGATAAGTTATAACAGAATACGTGTATTTATGAGAAAGCAGGCTTTGGGTCATGTTAGATATATAAAACCCCCACTAACTGCATAACACAGAAAAGCAAAAATTTATTTAGAATAATGAAAACAAACATTAGATTTAGATTAGATTAGCAAAGCTGAACATAAAAAGATACATCAGGCTCAAAAGAAGTACACATTGAGACATTGAAGTTTTTATTATTACTTTATTTGATTAATTCTCAGATATCTGAAGCAAAAGGCATGTTTTTTTTAATTCAAGTGGCTTTTTAAATGAGGTGTAAAGGCAAAGAAATCTGTGTTAGATTTACAAAAAAGTACAAGCCACTTCCCAATGATATCCAGAATGTTTAAAATTGAAGGCATTTAAATAAGATTAATTGCTAATCTTTAAAATGAGAATATATTCACATATTTCATGGTGGTACAGGTTATTTAAAAAAAATATTTTGAAGCAGCTTCTTGTTTATGACTTTCCTTATTCCCGGAGATGATACGTAGTAAGGTTTCACTTCAATAGTGATAGGCAATATATATATAGGACAGATGGTACTGCTAGTCCGGTTCATATCCTAAAGCCTTTTCAGGACCTGCTTTTATTAAGGAATTATCTTCCATGAAAATAAATTTTGGAGGAAGAAGATGGACCACAAGTCTCTACTTTAAGGAAGCACAATCCTCATGCTCTGGATAGCTCTTGTCTTTGCCTTAAGAAGGTCCATTCATTATTATGGCAAATCCAGCACGTGCCTCATGATGTTGTCAGGGCAAGGAAAATAAGTGGATGCCAAGTTTTCAAGTAAGCTTCTCTTGCACTTAACATGTATCCTTGAAGACAAGGGCTGGACTTCACTGTTTCTGGATTAAGAAGTCATTTAGGAACACACAGAATATACATCTTGGCAAATCCTCCAGCCTACTTACAACAGGATGGAATATCATAATCAAACTATGAAATGTTAGCCACTGTAGAAGGTTCAGTTCTGCAGAGATGGGGCCTTCTTCATATTCTCGGAAATAAGAAATATATATTTATATATATGTATATATATAAAATCATGATAGAACTAGAACAGCAGCCCAGAAAGGTGCACACCAATTTGAAGTACAATTCTAATCCATGTATTCAATGGAGATAGTGGGAATTTCATTTTCTGAAACATTGCCTCTTCAGAGACACATAGTCAAATTATGGCCACACCTTTGGGCAATTCAGTCCTCTGATTTGAAGGAGTACATCATTGTTTAGGAAAGTGGAGGGTCCAGAGTTGATACAACAGTGATTAGAAAATTATCTGGCTTATTCTGCAACACTCCAACGATATTACTTCATATGCAAGATTACTTGATGGTAACATTTGGATGTGTTTATGAGTTTATACTAGTCAGAAATAGCATGACCATGTAAAGGGAGAAAGAGGAACAGATAGAGAAGTATTAGGGATTAAGCGACAGGGTTTTGCAATTATGTTCATGAATTAATTTGGCACAACTGCAGTGTTAACTTTGATCATCAGCAAAAGATCTCAAAGATTTTGTCCTAATTTTTCTCAATATGTTCTGTTTTGAACCACTAACCATCTTATCTCCTCTTCCCACATGATTATCTTCCTGAGTCTATACATTGACATCACCAGCCACATGCTCATATTTCATTTTTATCCTGAATGACAGCTAAATAATTTTTTTCAACTAGTAGGAAGAGATATCCACTTCTTTGGGCCTTGATAGGTTCACAGAACATTCAAAAGGCAATGTTAAACCAAGTTTTAAGAATTAGATCTTGAGGTGATATCCATAATTCGTTTACGCAGGTGGAACATAAATTCTGTCATGGTGGCACTCAAGCTTTGGTTAATTAGATATCGGGGAAGCCGACCCTATAGGACAAAACAAGCAAATCAAAAGACATCAATTTAATGTTTATATATTCTAATGCTCATTGGTCTTGTCTAATCTAGTCAAATTATCAAATATTTGGTACATAATTGTGGCCTCTTAAGATACAGCAATAACTTTCCCAGTTCTGCCATCCAACTTCAGTTTTATCTGAGGCATTACTGAGTAAATGAGGTTAACCACAAACTATGGATACTCTCTCTTTTTAAAATAAACAAAACTAAGAATCCAGGAACTTACTTTATACAACTATGTCCATCTAATTCAATTTTATCTACACTAATTTCAAGCAGAACTTTAGGATTTCTGGCAACTTTTTTTGTCAAGTATATTTAGAAATGAAATCTACGTTTGGCATACAAAGCATAGCTTTCAATCACAATATAGTTCCATTTTTAACCATAAGATTAGAATAATGTAAGCACTGTGATGGGAGAAATTGCAGAATTGAGCTATTATTGGGTTCACTTAAACAAACAATGGCTTATTTATTAGAAATGCATAGGTTAATTAGCATATTCTCACCATTTTTATTTCTTCTCCCAATTTCTTCTGGCTACAACAGTTTTTTGAAGCCAGGAAATAATTAAAAATGGCACTACTGGGTGTTCTAATAAGGAAGAACACCATCAATTTCTCCCAGGAATCTCTAAAGAGGGAACTGCGGCAGCAAAGCAATTGGAACTAAACAAAACTAACCTGGAACTAAAAACTTCCACTGCAGGAAACTGAATCCAACCCATATTGGAAACTTTGTATTTTATATAGACTTTGTAATCATAGTACTTTATGGATATCATAAAATACCTATATTGTAGATTAGAATAACATTTGCAATAGCACTTAGACTTATAGACCACTACATAGTGCCATACAGCCCCCTCTAAGCTGTTTACAGAGTCAGCATGTAGCCCCCAACAATTTGGGTCCTCATTTTACCAACCTTGAAAGGATGGAAGGCTGAGTCAACCTTGAGCCGATGAGGATCGAACTCCTGGCAGTGAGCTGAATTAGCCTGCAATACTGCAT